TCTTAGGTCCAAAATTTGTGGCTGTCATTGTCAAGCTGGAAAAGCAAAGGCTAAAGAATATGCCGCCAAACATGGCTAAACGTATATTGCTGTTTTCTGAATATACCAATAAGAGAAGTTCTCTTTCCTAAAAGAAACACTTTATATCTATCTATCAATCGATCTAATCAATGACTGTACCTATATCTCAGGTTGTTGAATAGGTAATGTCAAATCACAAAGTGACTGCCCACATTTAGGTTCCAAGTAAAGGGTTGCCTTACTAAGACATTATTGAATCATATGGAGATGTGATTGTTTCAGAAAATGTTGATATCCATTAGTGGATATGCAAATGGAACTGTAGGAAAGTTTAATTATTTCTTAGTACCTGAACTGGGGAAGTTTTCAATGGCTACGTTGTATTGGAAGTGAGAGATTCACCTTCTTGGGATAAATCAAGTCTTAGGCAATACACTATGTTCTGGCAATCTTAACTTTTTAATTAAAATAATGTTTGTCTTATAATTTGTGTTAGACTAAACCATTAAGTAGACAAAAGCCATTTTATCACTCATCTCACCTTTAGAACATTGTAAAAAGTGATTAGAATCATCACATTGGAAAAAGAAACATTCTAGGGAAATTTGAGGTTATTCAAATCCTATTTAAAGATTGTTATAATTAAGAGAGTTGCTTCTGTAAAATGCTGAGGTAAACTGTGGTTATCTAGATTCATTGCTGATGTTCTTGAATAGGTATAAAAGTATTGGCAATATCAGTCTTGAAGGACACTAGAGAGAGGAGAGCACAGATCTACAACTGTAAGATACAGCTCCCAAAATAAAATTATACTTGTGTTTAAAACCATAGAAAGTAGAAAATTATTATTTGCATCTCTGAAGATATGAATAAATCTACATCTTTTCAATTGGTTTTCTTGACAAGATGATTAGTTTATTACAATGTCTGGAACAAAATATGATTAGTACTTTTTCTATGAGGCTTTCATATATTGGCTTGAGTGATTCTTTTCTAATTCTAAAATGATGTGCAGTTTGGGTAGAATGTAGAATGAAGTAAACAAAACATAATGGTTTGAGGCCCATGAATTCTATACATATTAATAAAATATAATTTTGTACTTCCTGAAGATCTTAAACTTAGGTTTGATTTGTACCCAAGGATACCAGTAAGTCAAAATTATTATTAAGAATTAATATTAAATTATTATTCTTATGAATCTAATATTATTTATGACTGGATTATGTATATGAGAGTCCAGAAGGAAGATGCCTTAGGTAGGCATGATTTGGCATTTCATTTGTATGGTCATCTATGTTTAAAACCCAAAAGTGCTCCTTTCCATGGCATCATACTCAATTTCATTTTAGTAACATGATGTCACTGAATGTGGAATGTGTCTATGCACAATCAGCTCTATAAGATGCTTCAGGCAGGTTCTAGTACACTCCATCTACATTAGCAGATTTCACAAAGAAACTTTGTAAAAAGTTTGAGGGTGACTATCATGGGTTAAAATATCAGAAAACACCAAAATTATAATTATTGTTACATAGGCAATTTTGGAAAAGTTATATGATGGATCAAAGGCTTCAGGTAAGTACCGAAAAACAAATTTGAGTCAAAAAAGTTTGCAAAGTTTTGAAGAGTCAATTGAAAAAATTGAGTACTCCCTCCCCCCACTTTTGTTGGAAAATCTTATTATCTACTTACTTTTTTCCATTTCTCCCCACGTCTCTTTTATAACTAATGAAGACAATTTTTTTTTTTTTTCAATTTGGTTTCCCGGACAATCTCTATAGATGTCTTCAAGAGTTTTTCTCCACTGATAACTTTTACCTGAACAGGAGTACATAATATACTTTATCTCTAAAGCCATCAGTTTATTTTGGATCATATTCTGTTTCTATTTTAAGACCCATTCATAATCCAGCAAAGTATTCTGTTTTCAGCAATGGGTTTTCCTTGCTGCTCTATTGAATACCCTATTTCTGGTTAAGGCCATTCACACAAAGTGAGAATAAAGTCATGGCCACATCAGAGTTGAGAACTACTTTTGAATCTTACCTAAAAGCATTGAAGAATTCTTTATAATGTTTGCAAAGGATTAATCTTCTCTTTGCTTTAGGACTGGATTTGGGTGTAATGAAATCACAAGGAAAGACTTCAAAACATTTTTTTTCAAAACCCCATAGTTTTTCTAAATATCTCTGATACCCTACAGAATTTGCCCACAGAGTCTTGCAGGTCACCCTCAGCATTTATTCTATCAGCTTTTTCAACCCCCACCCCCTATTTATAATCTGAAGTTCCTAACAACATGCAAACCAACAGATATAAATTCCACAGTCCTAGACTGTATGTTTTTAAACTTACTTTAAGTCATTCTTTTTATTTATGTATGCTGTATCTAATCCGTGGAAAGAATTAACAATGGATCTCAATTTAGACTTAGATTTTAAACCAACTCTAAGAGACTTTCCCTATTTTAAATGAATTTAACTTAAAAGGACAATTGAATTTTCAGATTTACCTGAATGAAAGATTAAGATCAGAGAGGGGTTGGGGTGTAACTCAGTGGCAAAAAACTTGCCTAGCATGTGAGAAGTTTTGAGTTTAATCCTGATATTGCAATTAAATAAATGTGTGTGTGTGTGTGTACATACACATATATACATATTTATAAAGATCAGAGGAAAGACTTTGAGAGGATCAATTGTGTTCATTCATTGTTAGAGAGAAGAGGAAAACAGGATAAAAGGCAATTTGGTTCAAATTTTGTTTAGAGAAATCCAAAGGGGATATTTTTTGCATTGTAATAAATTATCTTTTGCAAAATAAAGAGGAATGGAATTTTGAAATCTGAGCTTATTTTTCACCCACATTTGTCGTATTTGACTTGGTTGATGCTGATGTTTTTCCATTTTTCTTCTATTCCTTGGAAATACAGAAGTATTAATGCATGCTGGGGTGCCAGTGGGGAGAGAGAATGTATGCATTGACAAAATATAAATTTAACCAGTATCTCTATTTCAAAATATTTATGAGTCTCTGAGCATTAGCCATTTGAACTCGATTCAATTTTTGTTATTATTTTCTGTCATTTTGCCTACCATTTTTAGCATCCATATTAATATTTTGATAACATGCAACCAAAGATTTAATTAAACATATTTAGGGTCTTCCTCTTTATTTCACATCTTCATTTTGGAAATATTTTTCTTCTATAAAACAGTGTATAGCTATCTTATATAGCAACCACTGGTCACATGTGGGTATTAAAATTTAAAATAATTAAAGTTAAATAAAGTCTAAAGTTGCATTCCTTGTGACAGTGGTAATATTTCAAGCACTCCATGTAGACATGTGGCTAGTGGCTACTGTGTTTGACAGTGCAAATATGGAACACTTTTTTCATACAGAGTGTGCTGCTGCACAGAAAAGTCTGTATCACAGATTTGTTGATATTACCATTGCTTGGCTATTTATCTGGAAATCTATATAATTTGATGTAGTAATTGTTGATAAAACAAATGGATCACTTGTTGTGAGAGGCTGAATTGAATTTCTGAAATGTTCCCTGCAGAGACCTGCATTAAGATGCCATTTTTTGTGACTAACTTTATGCAGGTCTTATGCATACTGAGTAAGAACAGGTTTGAGAGCTTCCAACAGAAGCAAGTCAAGATGCTAATTGGTTCCTATGCCCAAATCAAGACTGCTTCAATAATTTTACCATTTCATTCTTCTCCAGTTCAAAGCTGTTTTTTTTTTTTTTTTTCTTTTTTCTGGTTTAGTTCCTGGTATATTTTCAAAGAACAAAGTTTCTCTAATCTTGTGATTTTTAAAGAGTAAGTTTTCTTAGTAAAATCATTTTGTAATATTATAAAATATCCTATTTCAAAGAATGAGTCTTCTACATTTTATATCTTTGATGCTCATCAACAGTAAAAGCTTTATAGTTTCCCACACTTGAATGAGATATTTTCTAGGAAGCATAAATTGATTCTGACAGTTATTTCCTTCCAGCTTTGAGGATACTATGTCACGGTTTTCTAGCATGTGTCCTTACATTTGGGAACCTGCTGACAGTCTAATTGGGATTGCTTTGTAAGTAATCTGTCTTTTCTCCCCAGCTGTTTTCATTTAGTTGTCTTTGGTGTTCTCATTTTAGACTCATGCATCCAGATCTGAATTTTTTAAAATTATTTTGTTCAGGATTTATTGTGCTTATCAAATTTTAATACACATTACAACAATTATAGCAATTCTTAGTTGCTATGTCTTCTGGAGTTATTGTTTACCCCTTTTCTTTAGCATTCTAGTGGAGATGAATATTAATTTTATTATGTCTTCCACATTTTTCTGTCTCAATCATTTTTCATTTTTTTTATTCTGTAGACTTCACTGGGCTAATTTTTTCAGATCTTTTTTTTGAAGTTTCTGCCCCTTTTTACTGACCTGGTCAACTTATAATTAAGTAGAGTGACATTCATAGTTCATTTTGATTGAAAACGCAGAAGCTATATTTTCTTAGTGTTATTACCACTGTCAAGAAGAAAATCAAGGTTATAACAGGTTTTTCTTAAGACTAAACTATGAAATTAATGTAGCTTAATCACACCCTTTTCACTTTCTAGGTCAAATAAGCAATATGAAAAGGCAATAAAATTTTCTTTGAAACTTCCAAGTACAATCTACATATACATGATTTTGAGAATAATTTAATACATCAACCTCAAGATACAACTATAGTCTAATACCATTATTTTAAATTTAAAGAAATGGATCCTTACAAGACCAAAATAACCCACAGGCCATAAGTTTGGTTTTCCTTTTTTGTTTAACCAAATGTGCACCACGATGTTTCAACAAGTAAGGCAAATGCCATGAATGTGAAAGGTGAGGTTTGCGATATACCACACATCTAGAACCCAGGGGAGGTAAATTAGACAGAAGTGGTAGTCATTCTAATTAAATAATCAGGTAATATCATGACAAGTTGGTCTGCAGCATCAAAACTGTCCGTTTAACTTTCTTTTTTCTTGACAATCAGAGGTCCCACGTTGTCTCCAGTCTCTTCGTTATGTTTTCTGTGAGAACCATCACAGAATGGAAACTTTTTGGACCTCCAGCAATGGCAGAACACAGCTTTATCTCCCAGATCCTCCATGTCAAAAGCATGTACTATCTTGGGATTGTCTTTCTGGATGTGAAGGTTTACCATTGCTTTATTGCTATGATCTTTGACATAGAATCTCTTGTAAGCTAAGTAACCAATTGCAGCCGTCCGGGCAGCAATGGTAACTGCTGCAGTCCATTTAACTCCTATGCTGCAATGGGAGATCATTGAACTCAGGGGCACTGGACCACTGAGCCACATCACAAGCCCTATTTTGTATTTTATTTATTTTGTCTGTAGTTCTTGAGTTGCTTAGCGCCTGTCTTTTGCTGAGGCTGGCTTTGAACTCCAGATTATCCTGCTACCCCTTTGGAGCTGCCTCCCAACCCCACTAGGCCCTAGTTTTACTGTCTCTTTTTTGCCAATTTCAATTTTGTCTTTGATTCCACCCCCGCCCCCCACCACCCGTTTTGGTGTTCCATTTTTTTCCCCCAGGGAAAAGCTTGAGAACATTGGATATATGCAGTATTCTCAATTACAGCTCTCCATCTTGTTTGGATTCCTAGCCTTGAATTTTTTTTTTTTTTTTCTCCAGGAAACTTAAAAAGAAACCACTCTGATGTTATGACAGTTAAATGCTATCAAATCAAGTGATCACTTTTAACTCCACCTGTTATGAATTTAATTGTGTCCCCCCAGAATTCATATGTTAGAACCTTTATTCCAATGTTACTGTATTCATAAATAGAGCTTTAAAATTGTAATCAAGTTTCAATGAAGGAAAAAATATAGGGCCCTAATCCATTATGGCTGACATCCTTGAGAGAAGAAGGACACTTGGCATGCTTAAGCACAGATTAAAAGATACACTGAGAGAAGGTAAGGCAAGGCAAGGGAAGAGACCTGAGGAGACCAACTGGGCTGACATGTTGATCTTGGACTTTTAGATTACAGAATTGTGAAAAAATAAGTTTCTGTTAAGTCATCCACTCTATGGTGTCTTCTTATGACAGCCTCAGCAAACTAAGATATCATCTGTACTATTTTGGAACTGGTGAACACTGGAGATTTTCAGTTACGATGTGAAAAACTCAAGTATGGATTTAAGATGATAAGAAAAATGATCAAAATTTTGGAAATAGTCAAAAAGTTTTATTACAGATTTGCTCAATATAGAACTTAGGATATCTGATTCTCTAGGTTTATGTAGCTAATTTATTTTGCTATTCATTAGGAATTTTGCAATTCTACATGACTATAGGTTAACTAATGAAGATTTATTACAATGCAAAATCTCTTATTTCAGACCCATGAAAATGATTGCTGCTGTTAAAAAGTTAACATCAAACGTTATCAAATAATATTTACAAGTTTTATCTCTAATTTAGCAACCTTAAAATACCATTTAAAACAAACACATTTCCTATTGGAATATATAAATCTTTGCTTACAAATGCCTTTAAATTAGTTTTGAAATCTTATAGGATTCCTTGTTAATGATGTTTTTGTTTGTTTGTCGTGGGTCTGGGGGTAAACCCATGGGATGGCCCTTCTTAATTTTTTTTTTTTGAGACAGTATCTCTTTAAATTGCTTAGGCCCTCCCTAAGTTGCTGAGGCTGGCCTTGATCTTGAGTTGCTCCTGCCTCAGCCTCCCAAGTAACTGGTATTACAAGCATGTACAATCACACCTGGCATTAATGAGTTATTAAATAACTGTTTGAAATGTGTTAATTTTATGCATTTCAGTGTTGTGTTTTCAGCATTTTAAATATTATATTGCAAATGTTTAGAGCTTTCTGCCAAAAATGCCTCAAATGACAAATAGGCCAAAGGAATTCAACATGGTGTTCAAGAAGTACCAGAAGACTTCATATACTATTGAACCATAAACATTCTTGGTTACTTGGGTGACTTCCAATGAAGACTAATAGTTTATGAGTTTTGTGTTTTTGTCTGTAGTTCTTGGTCAAGTTTTATTCTGTGTCATGTTTTTTTTTTGACCTTTGCACCACTAGTGGCAACAATGATTAGAAATTTGGTTTGTGATCTGACAACTTGGTGATTTCTGTTATTAGAAATAGAAATCTATTCTCTTTTGAATAAAACAAGAAAGGAATTTTTTGTTATTATAATTGTTTATATTATTTGTTTCTCTATTTGTAAACTCAAATTCATTAAGAAGATATGTCAAGACTATCACTAAAAAGAAAAGTCTTTTTAGATAGGAACTTCTTATCAAGGTAGAAGTTCTTCCTTCCTCTGATTTTCACCTGAAAACTCTGCTACACTTTACAAGGTAGAAATTGGGTCTTCAGAATAAAATTGAGAAAGAACTATTAATAATTGATAATTTAAATAATAGTTTTTGGTAATACTTGTGTGTTGACACCTCAGTGAAAACTATCAGTTTGTACTAAGGGACTGGTTCATGGTTTCCAAGAAACTTCTCAGTTGAAATATAGAAAGATTCAAAAGTAAGTGATGACCAAAGAATCATCATCATCAACAACAACAAGAAACTAATTTCATGGCACTTTATAAATTGTTTAGAGAACTATAACTGAAGTTAATAATTTGAAAAGATCTTTGATATTGTTTTAATCTATTTTCCAAAGAGTAAATGGGCATGTGACTTATCTTTCTTAACTTTCTATAAATTCTGCCATTGCTTTTTCAAACTGAAATAAAGCATTTAAATATTATATGACTTTTATTGATGACTCAAAATTCAAAAATTAATATTTTACTGAGAATTCTTAATTTTCTTGGCAATGTTTATTCAAATTGGTATAATTATAATATGTCTACCTTTTTAGTAGAATTTAACTGGGCAGCAAATTAAGTAATCAAGGCCCTAAAAGTTAAATTTGTTCAACTCAAGTAACTTGGTCTAATATACTTGCCATTAAGGATCAAGTGTTGTACTTTATATGGGGAAACACTACTTGCAAAGCCTTCACAGAAAATTGACCTGTTCTATGACTAATGGGGTTTCAAGTCACATAAGCAGCAGGAAAAGTAACTTCAATCATGCAAATGTTAGGACTTCAACAAGAAATGAAGGTATATATTTTGGCCTTGGTTGCCTAACCTTATATACAAGAGCAAATAATGAATCCTATTGAAAACATAATACTAGATTCCTTATAAAATCTCCAGATACATGTAAATTTTCTGGCCTAGCAGTTGCTTAATGTCAAATGTCTCTTCATTTGCTGATAAGTATGAGGAGATTTAACATCTTAATTAACTATTGGTATACCTATATAAATGATATATAATAAGACCATTCTTTTGTGTTCTCATAAGTTTTGAGGATTATTTATGACCAAAAGAAGTAAACACTATTAAGGAAAAAAATATCCAAAACTTGTAAATTTGTAAAATGGACTATATTAGGCGCCTTTTTCATTATAGCACTGAGTATTGCCTAGAAGTAATTATCTTTTTCTCTAGGGCTGTGTATATGTGTCTGGCATTCTATTTACTATTGTTTGAACCATTTTACAACTTGCTAAGTGTAGAGGTTATATTCTAGAAAATCAAATGCAATAAAAAGAATTCTTGTCAGATGGCAATAAAAATGATTTCGTTCGGTTCAGTAGAATAGATAATGCCAGACTCTATAATTTATTGCTATTTATTACTTTAATTTTATAAAACTAGTAAATATTATAACATTTTAAAATATATTTCTTTTTGGAATATATAAATCCATCTTCCTCAAATATTGTTGGAACTACTACCATCTTACCACATCCCTCAAACTGTTTGTTAATAAATTATTGATGAAAGTTCATTTTATGTGTTTATGAGAGTTCTGCTCTTAATTTTTGGAAAATCATATTTTTACAAAAAAGATGTTTTTCTTGTTCAGCATTTTTGGATTTTTTTTAAACCTGCAGCTTTTCATGCTATCGAATCTATCATATTGCCCTGAATAGAAGTTTCCTTTCTATTAACTCTATTAACTTTCCTGAACAGGATATTGACAGAATGGAGAGAAGTGTATATCTTCAATCCTCTAGTTAAATCTGAGTTCTTCTACAAGTGCTTGTCTTATAGGCTGCAGGGAAGGAATAGAGGAGTTCAGAGATCAGTTGGGCTGTGATAATATTTACTTGATTTTCTGAGGCTTAGGACACAGGATGAAGGGCATAGAGAAACCATAGATCTCTGACCAAACTAGAGAAATTTTCTGAAATCCTTACTTGAGCTGTGTTATCAGTTACCACATAAGCAATGTCAGAGAATGTAATGACTGTCTTATTCCTTCCTAGAATGTGCTTTGTGCTTTGCGTTATCACGGGTATGAAGGCAGGAGGTTTTCAATGGTGTGTTTCCAAGTTCTTAATTCAGGTGTACTCATTCAGTAGTTTGCAGCCTCAAATACATATCAGAATATGGTGCTTAAAAAAGATGTCTAGGCTTCATTTTTTATTTAATAAATCAAAATCTTAAGGACATAGCCCATGGGAAGTTTTCCTTAAATAAATACAAATTTATTATGATTCTCATAAGGTAGAAACTCATTGATTTATTCCCATGTTTCCCATACTTTGACTATAAAAATCACTTGGGGTGCTTTTTTAAATATACAATTTTTACATGCATCAAACCCCAACAATTCAAATGGAATCGAACAGACATATTCTTGAAACCTTAAAAAGTCAATTCTTTGGGGGGGGAGGTATAAAACAATTAAGCATTGTATAGATTTTAAAATTATTTACAGGTCTATTTTTCTCCAACTTCTCCATTCTACAAACCACACACACACATAAAAAAAAAATTGTCAGAGGACTAACATGTGCCCAATGATTAAAGATCGAGGTCCTCCTCACTAACAGAGTTTTTTTTTTTGCATTCTTTTTCAAATAAGAAAAAGACCAATGAACTTACGGATTAAATAAACTGTGAATGATTTGTTTCTGCCTTCCTAGTTTCTCATATTAAAAAAAAAAATAAGTAATTAGGGCATTGCATTATTCTAGTGGGAGAAATGAGAAGATTTTTATTTTATCATCAGATAAGAGGCCCCAAAAGATCTGCTGTTAATATTAGAAGCTAATCATCTGACAACTTGTTCCCTTTGCCTTGTTAATATTAGAAGCTAATCATCTGGAGATTTTGTTCCCTTTACCTTGGCAGACAAAGTCCCAGTGCTTCCCACCTTTCTTGGTGTCAGTGGGAGATGTGACTTCTGTGGTCATCTTTCAGGTAAAGA